CCGGGGTCGCCATTGTTCGCCGCCAGCATTGAAGGCGCTGTCGGAGGCAGCGGCCGCCGACCGGCCGGCAAAAACGCCCTCTCGGCCGGAGGACCGCGCCGCGGGCGAGAGAGGTCAGCGGTGTCCGCGGCGTCCGGCTGCGGCGGCGTCAGCGGTCAGCCCGGCTGACGGCCGACAGAGGGCGCCGGACAGATGAGGGCGGGCGGCCGAGCGCGGCCGGGCTGAGGCCGACAGCCGACATCTTCGGCAGTGGACGCTGAGCCGTGAGACAGCCGTGTGCGCACGTCATCGCCGCTGGACTGAACTGTCTCGAGCGGCCAGTCCTTGGACAGTCGTCAGTGCGCGGCCGCCAGCGGCCGCCGCCGGACAGCGGGCGGTGCTGACCGCGGCAGCGTCGAACGGCGCGGCCGGGAGATGTGTGACGCATCGGGTCCGGACAGATCTAATGGCCCTGTCCTGTATCGCAGTCCGATCGAACTGTAATTAGCGGCAACGTGCCTCCGTCAAGATGGCTGCCGCACGTCGCGCCTAAATCAGCGCTTATTTGCCGGGGGGGCTGATGACTGATATCCCCGCACCTGCGCAGAGGCTAGCGTTTCACCTCGCTTTTTCCGTGTCATTTGCCCTGCGCGCAACGGTCATAAGAAGGACGGTAAATGCCCGCTATCACGACCGGCTTTTGTCCGAGCGCGACTCTCCCTGAACGCGCTTTTTGTGGCGCGGCTTTTTGCGGCAGCCTTGAATCAAAATGCCGGTGGTCGCTGATGTCGGCCAATTGACGGCAGCGACACTCCGTGTCTCCCGTCACTGGCGGATGTGTAGCCCCCTGCTGAGACTGCGCTGCCCGCCAACTGCCCGCGATCCAGACGCCAGCAGCCCGTGGTCCAGCCGCCAGCTGCCGCTGTCCAGCCGGCGGCTGCCGCGGTCCAGCAGCCAGCTGCTACTGTCCAGCCGGCAGCTGCCGCGATCCAGCCACCAGTTGCTGCGGTTAGCCGGCAGCTGCTGCGATCCAGTCGCCAGCTGCTGCGGTCCAGCCGGCAGCTGCCGCAGCTCGGTGCGCAGTTCTCGGGCGGTGGGGGTCGGCTGCCGCCAGGCTGTCGGCGAGGAGCTGTGCGGTGGATGTAAGCATCCCGAATGGCAGCTGGAAACGGTCCAGCAGGCAGCTGCCGCCGGGTCAGCCGGCCGCTGCGAGGGCGGCGCCTTTGACTTCGGATGGGCGGGTTTATTTACCGCTGTCGGGCGGCTGCACAAGGGATGACATTCTTAAATTTTCGTTTCGGTAAACAAATGACGCGTCGTCGCTGACAAATGGCCGCGTTCCCAGTTGTGACATGGAAATTTACCGATCACCCCGTCCGGCGGCCGCGCAACGTGGGAAGTTCGGATATAAATCAAGCCAATATCTGGGAAGTGGGATTCGCTGGCATGCCCCAGCTCGAAGACCGGCGGCCTTTCTGGCCGAAAAAACCGGCCATGCAGCGAGTGGCCGGCATTCAACGGACGTTCCGCGAAGTGATTACTGAAGTTTCGAAGGCTATCGCGGCCGTCTGCGAATCAGCAATCTGCAGATCAAGTTTGACCGTTGATTAGAGCGGTGCGTCGGCCTGGTGCGGGGCTGTCGTCGGCTGCGCCGCGCGTCCGTCGACGCCGGCGGGGGCGGTAATCACGCCGGCGCCGCGCGCAATGCAACCGCCCCGCCGGCGCCGGGAGGAGCCAGCCGGCCGCGCTGCATGCCGATGGAATCATTTTCTCGATGTGAACGCTCGCGGCAGCTGATGGGCGGCCGAGCCGTTTGCCGAGTTGTGATTGCATCGTGCGGCGCCGTCCGGCGCGGCCGCGCCCGGCGAAGCGGCCGCGAAGCGGCTCCGGAGCACCGCTAGGTCAGTGTCGGGAGCGCGGTCGTCCGGCCAGGCCAGCCGGCGGAGAGCTGTGGGCCTGACACCAGGCTTTCGGTGCCGTTTGGTTCTTCGAGCCGACGGACTGGCTGATGATATCAAGACCTGTCGCTGAGCCGAGCCGGGAGTGTTCGACTGGTGCTCGAGCCCGGCCGGGCAACAAAAACGCCCGGCCAGGTGGATGCAGGTGACTCAGCGGGCCGAGCGCGCTAAGCCGCCACCTCAGCCGGTCGGCCGCCGCACACGACAGTCTCGCCCGCCGGGCGCGCTGAGCGGCGTGGCGTGTGAGTCTCGTGAAGCCCGCTGACCGCAGCCCCGGCCGTCTGTTTGTCGCAGCTCGGCCGCTCATGTGTAAACACGGCAGTTCCCGGCCCTCCCTGCTGCGGCCCCCTGTCACCAGACGCGCTCGCCAGCAACGAGCCATTTCGAGGCGCGCACGACGCTAGAAAGTCCGGCCGTCGCTGCAATAAAATCATCCGGTCAATTAAGCGCCGAGTTTGTAATTATGTTTTTTGTAGCTCGGGAGAAAGGTGTTGTAATTACCAGCTGCAGTGGCTGCGCTGTGCCCGGCCGGCCGGCCGCTGCATATGCATGCTGGCTGTTATTGTAAGTCACGGCCGCTGGCGGTCGAGTCGCCGCGCCGCCATCAATTCTGACACCAATTAAACGCTCCAAATAGCCGACGGCTTCGAGCCGCGCTGCCGGCGTCCGGCGCGTCGCAACCCCGCGCCGATGTCATCGCACGTGCGTCACGATCGACGAGGCGCTAGAGCGGTGCCACCGCCGGCGGCGACGTCGGGGTGTCGCCCGCAGAGCGACGCTGAATAAAATATGTCGCGGCAGCCCCGGACGTCGAGCACGTCGGCCGCCGAGACGCCGCCGCCGTCAGGGGAGGTGGCGCGGTCGTGTCTGCCGCCGGCCGCCGCTGGGACCGAGCGCGACCCGGCGGCGGCGGCGCAGCGCGCGCGGGCGGCGATGTCGGGTCGGCGGGGAGTCGCCCCTCGGCTCACGGTACTCAGGCTGGCAGCGCGCGCTCTGATTTACGGGCCGCGCCGCTGGCCGGCGGCCCGCGCGGCGTTCGACACGGTGATCTCACCCCCTCGGCCGATCAGTTCCGGCGCCGGCCCATCCATCGCGGCACCCCCTCCCCGTCCCCCTGGCCGCCCCTCCCGTCGGGAACGACGCCGCTAATTGAAATCGACACTCCCGTATACAGAAAGGTGCCTTTTCCATCATCCTTGTGACGGCGTCTGGCGTTTTGGCTTTCTCCGCTTGACTGATATTGACGAAAACAGGCTGCTTCCCGGCCGCCGCCGCCGCGCCGGCCGCGCTGGCCGACGCTCGCTGGAGTTTTCAGCCCGGCAGACTATCGAGATCTACTCAGCTCCTGATGGGGCTTCACGATTGCCTCCCATTGGTGGAACGTGCGCAGGCAGTCAACAAGACGAGGCGGCCGATCTGGAAATTTGGAATTCCGTGCGGCCTGATTTGCAAGGTACAGGCGCCGCGTTGAATACCAAGCGTGCCGCATCGGGGAGATACCAGTTACCAGTCAGCAGCCTGCACTCATTTCTGCTCTCCCACCTGAGCGGCATGATCCGCACCGCCCCCCCCCCCCCCCCCCCGACTCTCATCGATCGTGGAAATGTATGCGAGAATGCGGCAATGTGCTGTTTTACCACCTATCTGGCGGCCCCCGACCGGGCGGCGCTGAGGAAGGACCGGCGAGGGTCTCGCCTTACCCACCTCGCCGGGGTGCGAACAACGCCCCGCATCGCCGCCCAGTCTGCCCTCGTCCTGCCGATAGAGCCGTCGGCCCCTGGGCCGTCCCCCGGCCGCGTGTCCTCGGGCGCAGAGGCCCGCTGTTGTGCGCGCCTCTCCGGGGCGCTCGTCAAAGAGCGCGCGGCGCGCCCGGTCGCCGCGCGCGCCCGGCCCGGCTGTCACTCGTGATGGATGGCCGGCCCGGTATTTTCTGATATTTTCCCAGTGCCCCCCGCACGCCAGCCCTCTGGCCGGACGGGGTGCGGGCGGGACGGGCGCGCGCGCAGGTACGTGACCGGTGGGAGGCCGGGCCGCCGTCACCTCCCCGGCACAGTCGCCGCGGACACGGGCGGCGTGGCTGGCCGCGCCCCGACACCCGCGTCCACGACTCTGCTGTGGCGTCGGCTTATTTGCGGTCGGCCGGCGGCTGGCCGGCGCCATTGTCGCCCCTCATTACGGCAAATTACCGATATGAAAATTGCATGGTGGCCCGGGCGGCGCTGGGGTCGTCACACTGTCGTGACGATCGGACCACAGCGGCCGCAGCGGCCGTGAGCCGAGCGTGACGATCGCGACACGTCCCGATAAGCACGCGTCTTACCGGGTCGCGGCGCCCACCGCCGCGTCCGGCCTCCTCCGCCGTGCCGCCCGACCCGCGACCCTCCCCCTGGGCGCGACGAGCTTCCGGCGCCGGCGCCGTCCGGTGACGGAGCCGGTCCGACCGGCACCTGCCGCAGCCGCGGTCGAGCGGCGGCGCACCTCGGCTGCTGAATAAACAGCTCGCCGCGGTGCCGCCGCCCCGCCGCCGCCGCTGTGTTCCCAAGTGTTTACCGATTTCATAAACAGCTGAGCGCGCGGGAGATCAGGCGGCTTCCGATACTTCCGCGTCGGTGTCGGCGCGACGGCCGAGTCGGTGCTTTTGTGGCGGCCGGAACTGCGCCGCGCGGCGCTTCTGACGCGCCGCCGCCGCGTGCCATATGTGGGTGAAACGCGGCCGTCTGGCTGGTGGTGCCAGCGGCGGCGCGGCCGCGCGCCCCGCCCGCCGCGCGCCGCTTTTGCCGCACAATTGATTCAACAGGCAACAGTGACCCATTAACCCCGTATTACTCCATTTAATTAACATTTTAGAATCGTAGACGTGGCCGAAAATATCCATTAGCCGGTGCTACGGCTTCGTAAATTACTCGTGTGGAAAGTTGACCCTGGAGAGGTGAACCCATGAACTTTGAAAGTTGAAAATCACCCATTTTACACAATTCCCCGTGTCGACACGCGTTTGGCGAACACGCAGCGGGTAATTTTTCTGCCTTGTGGATGCTAATTACCGTTTTGTCTCTGTTTCAGACGATGCCCCGTCAAGCGGGCCCGATGGGCTGGGTTGCCGCGGTCGTGTGCCTGACGCTGCTTCATCCGTCACTGTGTGCAGGTAAGGCCGCGCCGGGGCGCGCCTTCCACGGCTCCGAGAACCTAGTGAATGGCAGATCGCACCGTTGATAACTCGCGAGGGCAATAATGGAAATGGAACGTGTTCGCTATCCCATGATTATGCCTGGAATGGGAGGCTCATTGCACAGGCCCTGAAGCGCCACTCAGTAGCTTAAACACGGCTGCAAATGCGCTGTTGTCAGCGATGCGCCCTCTGTGTCTCGCCTAGCATTTCTCACTGATGCGTTACCGAATGAGATACTGGCCACTAAATCAGAACCATTCCCCTTCTCGGCGTGTTTTTGTTGCGCTTCCAAGCGTCTGTTTACTTCAATGCGACTCTGCTCAGCGCCGACGCGAGAGCGTGCTCGACTCGGGCCGTCCCTCCCGACGGCTCCCGTCCGGCGGAGGACAGAGTGCCAGCGATTCCCCTGAGAACGGGGAGCCGTCTGCACCCGCCGGGACCGTTTTTGCGTCCGCGACTCGATCCGCACCTCGCCGCGCGGAAGGCATCGGTCGTCGCCGCACTCAGTCACCCACCATTTATAACACCGGGCCGCGTCTGGCCGGGTGCAGCTTGACCGCGGCTGCCGCGCGACGACGTCTCAATGCGCGGTGGCCGCGGCCGGCGCCGCTACCGGGCCGTAATGGCCGGGTTCGGCGCAGGGTCGGGTCGGCAGCCGACGGCCGGCGCACCGACACCGTTAATCGCCGCCCGGCCCGCCCGCGGCCGACCGATCACAATCCCAACCAGCGGTTAGCCGCGCCTAATGATAGGAAATCGTCAACATTAATTAGCGTCCCTTGACCCGCGGCTGGGCGGGACGTTCGCCGCACGAGGCATGACCTCTGCTCCCGCCGGCCGGCGGCGGCGGCGGCGGAGGCCCTCCTCCCTCCTCCCTCTTCCCTCCTCCCTCCAGACTGGCGGCAGGTACAATCAGCCGGCGGTGGCGACGGCGCACTCATTCGTCAGATCCTATTAGGTTTGCATTCACAATTATCCGCGCCCGGATCCTATTACGGGGTCGCGGCGGCGGCCATGGTTTTTCCTGTCGGGCGTCGGTGCGCGTTATTACGGAATCTGCGCGGCCTGCTCTCGTCGTATTACCGGCACAAAGGCATCATTTGTGTGACTATTTCGGCCTCCTGTGCCGTCTCGGTAATGATTTCCATCGATTCGGGGGCGGCGCGGTGCCGAGCGTGGAATCTTGGCCTGCTGCGCCGGTCTGCCCGGTCGACGCACGATGGATGGTCTGTGGCCTGCCCCGCGAGCCTGCGAACCGACCTGCCCTCGGGATCGCAGGATGGCGTGCGCACTGGCGGGCCAGCGGCGGCCGGTGGCAATAGCCGCGGAAGTTGATTTGTTCGCGGCGCATCCCCACGCCGTACGCCGACGCGGTGCTTGTTACTCGCCGTTTCGGCGGTGTGCGTCGCTCGGGTCAGGTCGCCGGTGCCCGCCGGGTCACCGGTAACCGCCGCCGGGACCGAGCGGAGGCGGCCGGGCCGGGCCGCCCGCCGCCCATCCAGCCGCAGCCGTTCGTTGACCCAAATTGCTACGAAATGTGAAGTGTCTCATGTTTTATGCCGTGGTTAGCGTGCCGGCATGCTACGGTTAGGAATTCGGTCGAGCGGGCGGGGGCCGGGCGGCCGCTGAGAGAGCTGCAGCAATCGGGCTTCTGGATGGCCGGGCGACAGTACTGCCCCCGCCCGTGGTCCGCCTCAGCCCCCCCGGGCCGAACCGTCGACCCACGTCCGTCGACCGAAGACGTGACACCCTGCTTGAAACAGCTGGGGTGGAGTGGGACGGCTAATACAAACAGGCTTTGTGTATTTGCTTGACGGCCCGGATCGCGTTGCGTGCCGTCAAGTGCGGATTATTAATGCTCCTTCACCGTACGGGTCGGGCACAAAGCTTCCCTCTGTCCGCCTGGACAACGAATGTGGCGGCCGCACGGCATATCCGAAGGGTTGTATTTATGTTCAAGTACACGGGAAATTAAACGCACCATGAATTAATAACTTCTAATTAAAGCGCTTGCGATAGGCGCCCAGGCGGGCTGTTCGCTTTTTTCACCCGTTGTGCTCGCTGTGAAATTAAAGCCATTATATTGCTTTTTGCGAGCGCCCGGTAAAAAGCGTTGTTCAAGTCAACTCGGATTAAACTGGGCCGTTGTCTGAGCCGGTGGCGCCGGGTCCCATTTTGTCGCGCGCCGGCCCGTTCTCCCGCCCGCGCGCGAACTCCGCCCGACAGCCTGGGCGCTGGCGCCCTGGCTCCCGGTATGCAAATTGTTTCTGCCTCACGCATGAGGTGGACGCTTTATTGAAACTTCGGAAGCGCGGATAATCGGACGGCGATCGCGTGCCGGGCTCGGCTGGGCTCCTCCGGCCGGCGCGTCCGCACGCCCGGGGAGCGCAGGCGCCAGCGGGTCACGCCGCCGCAAAGGTTGGATGCTGGGGCTGAGGCTGCGTCATGTTGTGGCGTGCACAGGACTGAGGTGACGGTACTGATCTGGTTCCTCCCGTCCAACTCGGGCGGCATTGTCCCTGCGCTCCTGCGGGCTGGGCAGACTTGTAGTCCGTCCTTTTTTGAGCGGGACGGACGGTCGTGACCTGGGGTGGACCACGTTAAGACACACAACAAGAACCAGTGCCTACAAGTCCCTGACGTGGTCGCTCGGGGAGCAGCGCCCTCTAGAGTCGTGCCACGCCGCGGGCGGGACGGCTTCTGCCCGCCGGCGGGGCCGCATTGAGGACGCGCCGCCCCGCCGCCGCCCTAAAAACGGAACCGTAACAGCCAAAGGTCGCGGCGCGTCCCACGGCCGTAAAGTCCACCGCAGCGGACGGCTAACGGAGCCACCGGACGCGTACAGCCATCACGCAGCTCGGTCGGTGGCCGGCTCGGCGGCGGCGCTGCCGGTCCTCTGCGCGTGCGCCTCCGCATCGGCACACACGGCGGTCTGCAGCAGCCGAGCAGTGCTGCGAGCCAGCCTTCATCACCCGGCCCTGACAGGCGCCGTGTTTTCGGCGCGCTGTACGCGCCACGCGCAGTGTTGGCCCCGTCGCCGTCCCGTAATTCATAACAAACCGGCGTCTGTGCGAGATCATTGTTGCAAATTGCAGGCGGCGGCGTCCGTCTGCGCCGGGCGGCCGCGCGCTGCTGCGTCGCGGCGGGGAGCCGGGTAGGTCGGCCGCCTGCTGCCGCGGCGGCAGCCCCTCCCGCTCCAGACGGCGGCGGCGGCGGCGGCGGCGGCGGCGGCGGCGGCGGCGGCGGCGGTGGTGACGGGTCTCGGAACACCGGTGTCCGACGGCGTCGTCAGCGGCCGCGGCGGAGGGATGGCCGGCGTCCCTCCTCCCCTCGGCTGGCGGCCGTCGTCCCCGCTCGGCCGAACCCTCGGTCGCACGGCTCGGACAGTGTTTTGACGGCGCCGCGTTTTATCGGGGCAAAACGCCGCTCATTTGGCGCCGTTTACCGGACCAGATGCTGCGATAGAGCAATTTGCCAGGGGAAATGGACCGCGATGGGGCGACGAGGGCCACGCGGCCGCGCCTCGCGCCTCGCGCGCGGCCGTCCATCCCGCAAGCGGCTCTCACCGGCCGGGCCGTGGCGGCGCCGGCCACGGCGCCTATGCATGCCGGCATGCATCTAACATGGCGCGGACCGGGCGGCGGGCATTCCTCGCGGCTGCAGCGGCGACTGCAGCGGCGGCCAGCGCTGCCCGGCCGGCGCCGCCGCGACCGCAGCGCCGCGTGCAGCCGGCGCCCGCGCCTCGCCCCATTGACGGCTCTATGCGGTGCGCAACAATGGAAACGGTGAATAACAATGATTTTTGTCGCCCAAAACGGTCATTAATCTCGTCGGGATAGACATTCGCGACGCACCGCGTCACCGCCAGACAAGAGCCGCGGGATCTGGCGCGGACGAGTTATTTTTTGTTGACGGCGCCGCCGGGTGCGGCGAAATGCCTCCCTGCGACACGATTTATGGCGTATTGACTTTTCGGTCGCTGCCTCTTGTTATTGCAGAAAAACGCCGGCGAGTGAAGGAACGTTTTTGGATTTGGCTTCGGGCGCCGCCGGCTGCACGCCGCGCCTGTTTGCTGTCGAATCTGCGGTGTTCTATCCCGCTGTTACCGGCGCGCTGCTGGGGCTCGTTAGCGCGTGCCTCCGCGCTCGCGGCTGTGCTATGGTCTGCCTGGCCGGCGCGTCGGCAGAGTGCGTACCGAGCCGTCGCGTGGCTGCGGTTGGGCGCTCTACTGGAGCCTTCTCGGCTCTCACCGATTCTGTTCAGTGTCGTGATGGATGCGCCGTGGTTTCGCCGTGCGTCGCTCTGAGCGCGGGGTGTTGTTGCAATTATTCAGAATCTACCAAGTCACTGTTAATTGTTGGAATCGCAACGACCCCGCGCGGGTCCGCACGGTCGACTAGGTTGACGCCTGCCTGCATGATGCACAAAAATCGACCTTACGCTTCGGGCTGCAGATTGATGATTTGCACTATTTGTGATGACATGATCCTCATTGTGGCTCACCTCATCAGAGGGACTTAAAATGGAGCCTCTTTTTAATGCAGCCTAATTCTTGACGGAACGCCCCCGGGCCAGCCATCGCTCCCACCAGCACAATGCGACTCGTCTCCGGTTAGTAATGGCCGTAATACAGCAATGTATTTATCATTGTATGCCCTTTCGGCGGACAGCAGTACACGGACTCACAGTATAGCCAAAGGGCCATACACGTGTTTGCGGCTTGTAGCCCCATATCAAGTGCAAACAATGGATGGCGTTGCACGTGGCAGAATGCATTGAATGCTCATCCGACGCCGCCTTGCGCCCCCGAGGCGGCTCTCCCCGAGTTCTCACACGGCGCCGCGTGCAGCCGCGCCGTGTGAGAACGAGCTGGCGCCGCCTCGTGGTATGTGGCCTGCGGACCGGGGCCGGGGCCGAGGCGGTCGGCCTCCGCACCGGCCAGACCCAGCTGACGGCCGTCCGCTGGCGGAGGCGAA